TGCCAGCAAGGATCCCAACTATTTTAGAAGCAAAACTGATGGACTCAAGAAACCCAGACTTGACACTGGTGTAAAGTACCACAAACAAAATGTAGCAGCCATTGAAACTTCATATTTGGTGGCACTCAGACTCGCCAGAGCTATGAAACCTCACATCATTGCTGAGGATTTACTGTTGCCAGCGGCCAAAGACATTGTTTGAGTTACTCTCAGAGACGAATCTGTTACGAAATTGAGTGAAATTTCCTTATCCAATGACACTATCAGTAGTAGAATAGATGACACGTCTGCTGATATTCTTGATGAGGTAATCCAGGAAATTAAATCTGCTCCACTTCCAATATTTAGCATCCAGCTTGGTGAATCTACAGACGTTGCAAACTGTTCAGTTACTGGTTTACACGAGGTATATTCATGATGGTGACTTTGAAGATGAGTTTCTTTTTTGCAAACCTCTTGAAACGACAACTACTGCACGTGATGTATTTGACACAGCTGGTTCATTTTTGAAAGAGTGTAAGACCTCTTGGGAAAAGGTTTGTGGTGTTTGCACAGATGGTGCTCCAGCTATGCTAGGATGTCAATCTGGATTTCAACGTTTGGTCCTGAATGAGTCACCAAAAATCATCAGAACTCACTGTATGGTTCATCAGCAAATATTAGCAACAAAGACGCTGCCACAAGAGTAATGAAAAGTGTCATAAATTCTGTCAATTTTGTAAAGGCGAGCACTTTAAATAGTCGATTGTTTTTGCAACTGTGCAAGGAATTGGATGCGCTGAATAATGCTCTGCTATTTCACACTGAAGTGAGAGGGTTGTCAAGAAATAACGTTTTCAAATGTTTGAGAGCTTTGTGACAAACTCAAACTTTTTTAATCAGAAAGCAAGACTACAGTTCGAAGCACTTTTCAGTGATAAAAGTGAACTGCAAAATATATCTTAATTGGTTGCCATCTTTGCCATCTTGAATAAGTTAAATTTATCACTGCAAGAACCAAATGCAACATGCCTTGAATTGTCTGAAAAGATCCGATCATTCCAAATGAAACTTCAGCTTTGGCCAAAAAAAAATTTTTTTTTGGATGAAAATAAAATTTACATGTTGCCTACCTTATCTGCTTTCTTTGAGGAACATGACATTGAACCAGACAAAAGGGTTACAATGCTAATTTCTGTGAAAGAACACTTGCACATTTCATCGTACTTTTCAAATCTACCTGATACCCCATTTGCACTTGCCAGAAGCCCATTCACAGTCAGAGTTGAAGATATTCCTGAGACAGCACAAGAGGAGTTCATTGAATTTATTAACAGTGATGCAACCAGAACTGATGTCTCTACAATGCCAGTGACAAAATTCTGGATCAAGTGTTTGCAATCATATCCTGTTGTGTCTGAGACTGTGTTGGGCTTTCTTCTTCCATTTCCAACAACATATCTTTGTGAAACAGGGTTTTCCAGCTTGTTAGCAAGTCTAAATACAGAAGTAGACTTGTGGAAGATGATCTTCGTTGTGCTCTTGCAAAGACTGCCCCGAGAATTTCTGATAGTGAGAAAGAAGCTATTTCAACCTTCGCACTGACTTTGGCTTTTTATGCATACTGTTGCAAAATGTAGCAATGTAGTTTACGTTGTTATATTAAGACTGTTACCCATGCTACACCATGCTTCAAGACAAAATTTCATTTATTTGTAATTTGAAATAAATATTTCACAATATATAACTACATATTGTTTTTGTAATTAATCACTATGTTTAATTATGTTCAATTTGTAACAATGAAAATACATCCTGCATATCAGAGATTTACATTACGATTCATAGCAGTAGCAAAATGACAGTGATGAAGTAGCAACGAAAATAATTTTATGGTTGGGGGGGTCACCACAACATGAGGAACTGTATTAAAGGGTCATGGCATTAGGAAGGTTGAGAACCACTGCTCTATGCATATGTTATCAGGTGAAGCTAGTCTTGAAAAAGGAAATCATGCTTAGTAAAATAAAAAAGAAGACATTCTTGCTTTCCAATACTTTAAACAGAGGACTGTTCCTTTCTTGCACATCTTACCATTAGTGATATGTACCACATACAACGTTGTAGCACATAGTTTGCTAATATTATCATTCTCAAGTTAATGTCCAAATACAAATATTGCATTTATAAAGATAATGATAATAAAAGGCAATTACAATAATGAAAAGTGAAGAAAAAAATTGAAGTAGTCTACTTATGTAAGACTGACTTACAACAGAATTTACAATGGGATCCCATGGTATGTAAGACACTACCTAAACTCATTTCACTTTTCTTACATTACTTGTTTGTTTTTTAGCAGTCATGTTAGCCTATTCATGTAAAGGATGAAAGTTTTTTGGTTTTTTTTTTAGGATGAAAGTTTTGTACCTCTTTTGCTCCACTACCTGTGGAGCACAGTAAAATATAAAGCATCAGGTGAATGGCAGAGCCAGGAAGGCGATCACAGGGCATACAGAAGTTCAGGTAAACATACTCCAAGGCAAATGAAGAATATACAACCTTACTCTAAGGATTAAAATGACATTTCAGGAAATTTAAACTTACCTGAAACCTGGCTGATGGGAGTAGAGGGGTTAGTCCCTCTTTATCCGTCTGTCCCCCTTGGAGAAGGACAGGTTCTGGACAGGGCAGATCTAAAGGAAGAAGAAGTCACAATAAATCCGGACCAACTGAGCTACTCCCAGCAATCCATTATAGTCAACTTACTTTGCTATTTGAAAGTAATCTTAATATTAAGTAGGGGGAAATAACTTGGCAGCCTTCTCTGTTACATATAAACTTTGAAGAAGTCTTCAGATTACTGTCTAACAGTCTTCATACACCCTCTGAAAATGTTACTAGTGCAAATTAAATATCACAATGACTGTCCACCCACCAGAATGGCTACAAGTAAACAGACATAGTCAATACTAACTGTTGGCAGGAATACAGAGCAATTGGAACTCGTGTATATGTAGACCTCATTTTATCATACTTTGCTCTACTGAGCTTCACAAGCATGGTGTTTTTTCCAAACTGAGTCTATCAGCACTATTCTGCCCTAAGCATGTGCTCATTTCATGTCCACGTGTCATTTTTTGGGCAATCTTCACTTTTTCATAATGTTATTACACACGTAATAGACTATAACATAGTACAATCAACCTTTATACGCACTGGGAAAAATGTGTGACATCCTTTATTGCTTTATTACGGTACTCTACAGCTAAAGCCACAGCGCTCTGGTGGCAGTAGATTACATGTTGGGCTGCTAACCACAAGGTCAGCAGTGTGAAACTACCAGCCTACTCCTGTAAATCTAGTCTTGGAAACTCTCTGTCCTACAGGGTCACTCCAAGTCAGAATCAACTTGATGGTAGCGAGAGTTTGAGAGGGCTGAACCTGCATTACCTCTGAGATATGCCTGTATGCTGCTCTAGCAGTATACATTTATCAACAACTTAGGAAAACTGTTTGATACTATATGAAAAGGTAACCAAAAAAAAAGTTTTTCCCCCCAAAACTATGTATTTAAATTGTTTTACAAAACATCTTTATCACCTTCAAAATACTCTCCATTACATTTAATACATTTGTCAAATCTGAGGTTCCACTCTTGGAAACATTTTTCAAACTCATCTGTTTGAATGGCTGACAGCACCTCCCTCATTTTTTTCTTCACCTCTTCTACATTGTCAAATTGCTGCCCTTTCATGTCCCTCTGCATTTGCAGGAACAAAAGGAAGTTGCACAGAGTGAAATCGGGTGAGTAAGGTGCATGGGGCAAGAGAGGCATGATGTCCCCCCCCAACCCCCCCAAAAAACCCGCTGAGATGGCTGCATGAGCAGGTGCATTATTGTAGTGGCAAAACCAGTTCCTCTTCTGCCAAATGAGGCCTCTTTGGTCCCACACTATTACACTATCTTTTCAGAACCTCTAAATAGAAAGATTGATCAGCAGTCTGACCTGGTGGAACGAACTCCAAATGCACTATGAGTCGACATTTTTGTCTGTTCTGGAAGTTGACACATATCTTGATGAGGTTTATCAACAATTGGTATTTCACCTTTTTGGAAACGAGAAAACCACTCAAACACTTGAGTTTTTCCCATAGCACTGTCCTTTTAAGCTGTATTCAACTTCAAAAGTTTCTGCAGCATTTTTCCCACGCAGAAAACAGAATTTCACAGCTTCATGCTGTTTTCTTAAATCAGTCATCACAAAACAAAACAAAACAAAACAAGGCTCGAGTGAAACCACTTTTATGAAAAAATTTACTGTGACCAGAGAGAATCTTCCCAGGCAACGCCACTGAGTGCACTAACTCAGAGCGAGTTACTTGATACTTGCCTATTGGGGAAAATGGGTACTACAAAAGCTCCACTCTACTCAGTATAATTCCATTGGAGGGGGGAGGGAGGGTACCCCCTCATATACTCTAAAGCTAAGCAAATGCCTATTCTCTGACTCAGCATTCCACTCTTGTTCATATATACTTGATAGGGTTCTTCTAGTTATATCAAAAAAATAAGCCCATTGCACTGAGTCAATTTGATTCATAGTGCCCCTTATAGAGTTTCTGAGGCTGTAAATCTTATAGGAGCAGATAGCCTCAGCTTTCTCCTGAGGAGCAGCTGATGGGTTTGAACCACTGACCTTGCAACCACTGACCCAACACTTACCACAAGGGCTACTTCTTCTAGCTATCATCTTTGTAATTCCTATCAAATGACTGGGTAGGCCTACCCAAAGGCAAGGTGTTTGTGGCCTACCAAGGGGAATGAATCGATTGCTAATAATACAACTACAGTACCCAAGTGGGATATGGCCACGCAAACAGGGTGTATACAATTTTAATGTGGGATTGGTCAGTTGTGACCATCCTGATAGATTTCAAATGAGCCATCACAGCAGCAGAGGTAGGGATCTCACTACCACAAAGAAAGTAGAGCAAAGAATGGCATGCGTCCTTTGGATCCTGAGATCCCCGAGCTGTTGAACCTCCTTGATCAGGGAAAGCAGATCAGGAGAAGCTAGAGAAGTGGCAGAAAAGCAGCAGGGAAGTGGTGGCTGTAGGATTAAGAGGACTAACAGCACAAGACCCAGTAAGGTGCTTCCCAAGCACAAACCCAATAAGAAAACCGAGTGTCTTCTGCCAGGAGGCTTCCTTAAGGAGCTGGGTATCTTTGAGGCATGTGTCTGGGGAGCTAGCTGGTCCACACACAGGGCTGGAGCCTTCTGCCAGAAATTGTTCAATCTTGCTCTGTGTGTTGGCACACCCACTGTAGCCACCTCTCTCAAGCACAGGGAAGCCCACCACGCTACCTTGTGCTGGTCTCTTGGCAATGCTGCTGCCACTTCTTTCCATCTCCTGTGTTACAGATCTGCCTCTTGGATGTAGGAGGTTCTCAGCATAGGGATTTCTGCTTCTGGCTTCTGGATGCTAGTGACATTCCTATCCACCTCTCCCCAGGGATAAAAGAAAGGAAAAAATTAAGACGAGTTTTATTTATTTATTTTTTTTAAGAAGAGTTATGACTAACCCATGGTTTCAATTTGTTAAATGAGCCTCTGGGATGGCTCATTTTAAGCCTACCCAGATGGTAAAACTGGCCATTTTCCTCTTTAGAGTTTTATACTTTTTATTTGCATGGTCTCACCCTTGGGGGGGTGGGTAGTAAGTTAATAGGTTACAGATAACTAGCTGCCTAACTATACCTAAAGAATGCAGAGGCAATGCTCGTGCTGAGGGAAGTCTGTAGTAACTTGTCACCAGGCTCTGATTACACCTTGATCTGTTCAAAGGCATCTAGGAAGAAACAGAAGGAACAGAACCCATCAAACCTGCTAGTGACAAAGTTGGGAAGAAGAGTTAGAATTCTGAATAATTAAATTATGATAGAAATTATTCCTACAGGTTGGAACACTTGGCCAAAAAAAAAAAAATTAAACAAGCGCAAATGTGAACTACTCACATGAAGGATGAAACAACCCTATTACACAAGAAGTGTGTAAATCTAGTTTGTTGAAGCTTATAATAAAAGATCTAAGATTTACAGTACAATATCGTTTTTTGGTTGTTGTTCTTCCTTATTTAGTGATCAACTTTCAAATACATATGAGGCAACTGAAAATTCTATGCCTGGGTCAGGTGCATCTTAGTCCTCAAAATGGCATATTTGCTTTCTAACACTTATAATTGCCTTGAATATTTATGTTTAGCGACTTCATATAATATCATTTTTTAAGCACCTAAAATGTGACATTCATCAGCAGAAGAATTCAAATAAGAGGTGGCATCAAAAAGTTTGTGGGGAAATGCCATATCTTTCCATTCCCTTTTCCCACAAACTTCCTGGACCACCACCACCCTCCCGCACACACACACCCCACAGCACGCACCAGCTACTTACCACCCCCCTCTAAAAACATTACATCTATGCCTTCAGGCATTTTTCTATTTTTCAAAGTATATCTAAAGAACTAGTATGTTGATTTTAGGCATTGCATTTTAAAAAGAAACTGATAAGAAGGACAGTTTCCAGAAAATCTACATATATCATATCACAGCAAAACTCATCCAAGGAAGACAGACTTTTGCATAGAAAAGAAATCACGAAGCGTCGTCATAGCTTAATTCATATTATCTGAAGGGTAGCCATGTGAGAGAAAGAGAAGTCTCTTAGGTGTGGGGGCAGAACTTAGAGCAACACAGAAGTTACAGTAGCAGGCAGTTCTCCAAATACAGTGGAGGGACAACAGGGAAAAATAATTTTGAAACAAAACAACAAAAAGCACCTACAAGTTTGTGTTCCAAGCTACAATTCTTCAGGAATGGGTTTTAGAAGGGGGGGGGGCGCGTGTGGTGGGAGGACGAACAACAGAAACAGTGGGAGAAGGGAGAAATCAGTTGGTGTAAGATATGAAAATAATAATTCATCAAGGGGTCATGAGGGTGGGGGGCAGAAGGGAAAAAAAGAGAAGGTGATACCAAGGGCTCAATAGAAAGTAAATGTCTAGAAAATAATGATGTCAACATATGTACAAATATGTTGGATACGACTGGTGTATAGATTGTTATAAGCTGTAAGAGCCCCCAATAAAATGATCTTTTAATACAAAATTTTTTAAAAAAAGAAGAGTCCATCTGCCAGGGATATTTTCTTAACTGATCCTGATACTTGAAGGGATAATTATCAAGATTTTCTCTTATTGCAAGATTACCATTCTCATATTTAGCAAATTTACATAAACTCTTGTTTATGTAATTTACATTATGTGCAATTTACATGAACTCTTCCTCCAAGTCACTAAATAAGGCTCTCCTTATAATGTGTCATTGTTTCCTTTCTTTAATCCCTAAACATACTGTTTGTTCTCCCTTACAGCCTCCTCCTCCCCAAATCCAATCTCTTGGGCTCCTTCCCTCAGCTCCCCTCAGCCCCAATCATTCCCCACTACCTTCCATCTCAGACGCTCAGCCTGCGACTCTTGAACATTGGCAAGTTTCCTAGACAGCGTCCCTCCAGGTGGGATCTCAGTCTCGGGTTTTGATGTCCAGCTCTCCTTTGCAGGGAGTCCGTGCCTTTACACAAACTAAGGTTGACGACCCTAAAGGACACAGGGTGGAATGAGCAACATCCATCACACGACCACACTTCAGATCATTAGCGAAGGTCCAACAGGTCTCATACTAGACAAGTGACCCGCAAAGAGTGTAACCAGCAAGTGACGCTCCCACTGAACAAAACCAGAAAGAACGGAGATGGGCTGAGCTGGGTCAGCCCAGATCCCAAACAAAACAAAACCTTGATTCCCACCCTGGAGTCTGGCCAGAGGCGCCCACAAGCCCAGTCTCCAGTGCACAGTAGGGGGCTCACACTCCCGCGGGTTCGAATACAGGAAGACACACCTGCTGCGAGGAGGAAAAGGTGGGAGGTGGACTAGTCGGGTGTGGCCTGGCTCCAGGGCCCTCTCTAGACCAGAACCAAAAAACAAAGCCCTTCAAAGGATTAGGGTGAGTCAGAAAAAACTGAAGGAGGCACGGGGCGACCCTGCCTAGGGCTCTCTAGACCTTTCCCACAGAGGTCACTAGACGCTCAGACAGAAGGGTGACGTCATGCGCCCAGAGGGCCGGAGGTTGCCATGGTGATACCTGTTCTGCCCGGTCCCCTCCACGTCCCAACGGGCTCGACCCACACACTCAGATCCCTACTCCGGAAGCACGCCGGCCGTGCAAAGGGGACCAAGGCAGCTGGCGTTCCCGAGCGCCCACCTCTTTTCACGCCTACAGCCTGCTTCAACGGTCACTTCCGGTCAGGTCGAGAAGGCCCTGTCCCCACTCTCGGCCTCTTTGGAGTACTCCAGGAGGGTAGGTCGAACTACGATTCCCAGAATCCTCCGCGCGCCCACCTCTTTCCACGCCTACAATCTGCTTCAACGGTCACTTCCGGTCAGGTCAAGAAGGCCCCCGTCCTCACTCTCGGCCTCTTTGGAGTACTCCAGGAGGGTAGGTCGAACTACTATTCCCAGAATCCTCCGCGACGCTCCTAGATTCCATTTCCCAGAGGCCTTAGCGGGCCTGAGAGCTTGCGCTGCGCGAGACTTGCGTCTTGCCCGCTGGAATCCAAAATGCTGGTATGCGGGATAATGGTGACCCTTAAATTTGTCTGGTCTGGACTGATTGTAAGACATCGTATTTACATACATGTTATTTAAAGGCGGAAGCAGCGTTTCACGAAATAGTACTTACCTTTACAACCTGTCCATAGTTCTTTGTGGTTTGATCTTGATTTCAGGTGCGTTGCTCAACGCACATTTTAAAAACTACTGAACGAAATCAGAAGATGGTGTGGTGACATGTTAAGAAAGAGGCTGTGGTCTTCCGCCCTTATATTTCAAGTTCTGATGATTTTGAGAAATTTCCCCAGGCCCACAGTGGGCTTAATCAAACCGACATCCAGTACACGTTTAAACTTGTGGCACATTACAATAGCTGCCATCATTTTCTATTTCCTCTCCAACCCCTGCAAAAATAATGTGCTTTTCTCCCGTATAAAATAATATGTCTTCTTTCCACTCCCTGATCTGCGTGCAGCATTTGGCATTTGTCCAGTTCAGACAACATAGACCACATAGCTGTGACCTCAAGTTGAACCCAAGAGCTAATAAAATCAGGCAGAAGACTTGACCCTGAGGAATAAGCTGCACAGTGCATGGACACCATTTCATAGAAAGTAATGATAACCCTCCCAGAAGCCTTTGCCATAGTCCCCATTTAGAACACCTATTGTGAATAAACCAAGTACCATAATCCCACCTGCATGGGTTCAATTCCTGGAATGCTCTACCTCCATTCATAAATATAATATCCTTCCCACCCAAACTCCCTTAAAAAACTCTTCTTTACCTTGTTGGGATAGAACAAGTTTGCCTCAGGCCCCAAACACCTCATCCTGCAGTCTCCTCTTGCAACGTATTTCTCTCTCTAATAAACTCTGTTTTTTGGCTAAGCTTGACTCCCACTTTGTTATCCTTACTGAACAGAGATAAACTTCAATTGGAAGCTTGTTCATGTAACAGTATACCATAGTGTTTTGCCCTGTGGCTATACATTATATGTCTACATCAGCAAATAGGACCCAAGGCCTGTCTTTTAATGTTTCTTTTAACCTATGCAATTGGTCAACAACACATGAAAATCCTAACACTGATTATATGAAAAATAGCCATAGCTATAGTTAATGGACAACAACACATGCAAGTCTGGAAAGAGCAGATATTAGAAAAGCTCTAATGTAACTATAGAAGATTTTCAGGAGACAATTTGGTATTGGTAGATTGGTAAACGGCATGTTCTGTGTGGAACAGGAAGCTGTGAACAAACTGGTGGAAATAAAAACTCAGTAGTTGAAAAGGGAAGAAGTACACCAGAGTGCTCCTTAGAGGTGAGATGGAGAGACTTTATCTTACACTAGCCATGTTGTCAGGAGAGGACAGTCCCTGGGGAAGGACAACTTCCTTGGTAAAGAAGAGGGGCAGCAAAGAAGAGGAAGGCCCCCAACAAGATGTATTGAGACTGTGGCTGGAACAATGTGTGCAAGCACAGGAGCAATTGTGAGGATGGCGCAGGACCAAACAATGTTGTGCATAGAGTTGCCATGGGTCACAACTGAATGTCGACCGGCAGCAACCCCAATGGAAAAGGGAGCTGAATGAGATTAAAAACATGTAGCAAATATACTTAAAAGCAGGTAACCTGATAAAAGCCATTCTGGAGAAGAACGGAATTGATATTGTGGAAAATAGAAACAGGATATTCTTTTAAAGAAAATGATTCAAACAGAAATAGAATAGAAGGAGGTGATCCGTATGAGAGGATGGAACGCCAACATGTGGATAATTGTCAATTACTTGGGAGACCAAGGAGCCCTGTGACCCTGGGGGTTACATGACGGGCTGCTGCATCTGCTCTGTGGGAGAAAGCTGAGGCTGGCTGCTCCTAGAAACAGAGTCTCAAACGCCTTGAAGGGGGTGATGGGTCAGAACTGAATGGAAGGCAGTGAATGTAAGCAAGACCAGATCAAGTTAACTATAACCCCACACTTTCTGTGTGTCCAGAAGTGTTCTCATTATTGCCTTACATATATCAATTTATCTAGTTCTCAAAACTTTATGAAGTTACTTGTGTTCTTACTGTACAAAAAAGCCAAAAAAACCTGAGGCACTGAGAGAGTAATTTGCCCAATTATAGGAATGTAATTCCCAGCGGACTCGGGAAAACATCAATTAATTCCCTGAGACATAAAAATGAAAAGAAAGCATACAGCGTTGGTAAATTGATTGACAAGAAGTATCTGCTTCGGCCAAAAATCAAACTAGCATCTTCCTTACGGAAGGCAGACCGGATGGGGGTTCGTGGGAGGAACTCACTCAACACCTGTAAAGTTCACTCTTCACCTGACTGGAGGGCAGAGAGCACTGGAAATGGCAAAGCGCCACGCTACCACCCAGGGGTTGATGGTGTGGGCGTACAAGGGACACCAGACGCAGGGGATGCGAGGAAATCCACAGCAGTTTCCTCTCCACCTGGGCTCAAATGAACCTTTTCCTGAACCCCAGAAACAATACCTGGAAATTTTCAAACAAAACCTGCAATATCAGGCCTTAAACTAGGATGAGCGTATAAGAGAGACTACGGAGGCCTTAGATTAGTTGGAAACGCTTTTGCTTGGGACTCTTGTAGCGCTCTCCGTTTCCTGGAGAGGTTGGTTTACCCAACTCGCATTTGACCCAAGGATTTCTAACTGGCAGAGCACATTTTTTGTACAAAAATGCATTTATAACCCTTATT